ATTCCTACAGAGCAGCAGAGAAGGGTGAACCTTAGGTAAATTTCCTGTCCAAAACCTGCAGAAAGCAGACCTTTTTACTCATTCTTACTGACCAATAAGCAGAGCTTCTCCCCGCTGCTGGCTGTTCCGAGTTCCCTTCCAAAGCTCCCTGACCTAGTCCTCAGCCTGGCGAGCGAGCGGAGGTTCCTCCTGGGTGTGGAAGCTGAGAATGTGGCTGGACTCCCCTGACCTGTGGGCCCTGTAAGATCCAGCCTTCCCAGTAAGGCCGCTAAGGAACCCCTATTTCTGCCAGTCCCAGGAGGAAAATGCAGAGCATGGCTGTGGGCACTGCCCGCTGGTAAAGGGCGGCTCCAAGTCAAGCCGCACTCCCTCTCCCGCACCCGCCTTGGGGAGGGGCCAACCGCGCACGAGGATGGGCTCCGGGCACACACACATGCTGCAGTGACCAGGGGGGGCGGGGGATGGAGGCAGAGAAGGGCAGCCGGGCAGTAGCCGAAGAAGGCTGGGGTGACTGGGCCACGCAGGGCTCTCCACTCGCACTCAGGGATCCACCAAGCACCTCTTTTCCCTAAACACCCCGTCATCCCAGCTCGGACGGGAAAGACTCACCTATGCTGGCTCTTGGGTAAGCGAGCAAGGTCACCTCCTCGGCGCCAGCCAGGAGTGCAAACACTCCCATCTCGGAACCTGCTCTCCGGGTGGGCGGGCAGGCGTGTCTGCTCATGCTTTGCCTCCTGAGACTACCTTGGGGCGCCTGGCACAGTATCTTGATAAAATGGGCCCTGAAGGCAGCCGCCTCCCCCCAGCCCTGGCTTCCCACTGCAAACCTGAGCTTCTCTGGCGCGGGAGAGGGCGGGGAGGTGCTCCCCCGGCGGAAGGGGCTCTCTGCCCCACAAAGCTGGGCACGCGCCAGCACCTGCTCTCCTTTCCCAGCTGGCCTTGCCCTTCCTGCCATGGCCTCCACAGAGCCCTCTCCCAACAGCCCGGGCCCGCTCGCTCCCTCCACCCCCTTCCTCCCCCTGCCATGACCACCACCTCCCTGGGCTACACCACCTTCCCCAATGCAAATGCCACTTGCTCAGGGAGGCCTCCCCACCCCCACGAGGCCAACACTCTTCCTGCACAGCCCATTTTCAGGACCTTGTGACTGTCTGGGTCTCACTGGAAAGGGTCTCCAGGAGGGCAGGGACCTTGTCTGGGCTGACTCCACGTACCCACCGGCCCAGCTCAGGCCCTGAGGCAGGGGCAGAAGTGCCTTCCTATGGGGGAGCCTCCTGAGAAGCCACTAGTCTGGGACTGTCTATGAAAAGCAGCCTCTGTGGAACCCCCATAGTACTATGACAATGGTAAAAGGAAAATAAGCCTCTAACGCCATTTAAGAGTCAACACTCAGCTCATTCAGCTCCAGCGAATAAGGCAGACTTACAAGAGGGCGAGTGCATGGCGCCTGGGGGGCGAGCGCACTGCACTGCTCTCCGCAGAACTCCCGTGCCCCTGCAAAGCCTGGCCAAGAAGGTAGCTGAATGGAGGGGGTCCCCCCACAATGCACACCCTACCTACAGGCGTCTGGAAGAAACCTAGAGCTACACACCAACTGCTGCACACAAGACAAAGAAGCAAGCGGGAGCGTGCGGGGGAGCTTTAACTTTCTCTAAATATTTGGGTGGCCTCTGAATGTTTCATTGCCTCTGTGATCTAAAATTAAAAAAATAAGACATAAAAAACACAGAGGTGCAACTTAAAATAACTGGTTTGATCCCAGACTAGATCAAAGGCCAGATCGCTACTTATAAAAAGTGTAAAAACAAGAGTCTAGCTAGAGTTCTCTAACAGCAGCTTGACATTAGTCTTGTGGTCTTAAGACACTAAGTTAGAGGAGTTTGTTACGGCGGCCACAAGAAAGTACCGTGAGTGCTTGACTCAGTACCCCCCAAAGTAGTAAAGAGATGGTGTGATCTCAGTGGCTCTCAAATGAAGATAAAGCTCGCCCTGCCCAGACCAGAGCTGCGAGAATGGAGTCTTGTTGGATAGGGACATGGCTGTTCTGCTGAAGCTGGCAGCGGCAGAGGCCCACCCAAGTCTGTCCAGCTGGTCTTCCCAGCTCCACTGCAGGAAGCCGAGGTCTTCAAGTCTTGGGGCAGATGATCAACAAGCAGAGAAAAGCAGAATAAAGGAGACACAAGCAATAGCTTGTCTTCGCAGGGCCGTGGTAGTGAGGACTCTAGGCCTCGGTTTAGCAGACAAGGGTGGACTCCCCTGGGTGTGCAGGGTCCTTCCCTGACTGGAAATACTGTTTCTTTCTCCCCTTAGGTAGCCATGACAGCAAGCTGCAGGTGGCAGCTGAAACTCCCCGGGCGTGTAGCAGGGTTTTGTGATGAGGCAGTACCCCAGAAAGAACAACCAGTCAGTCACAAACCTCTCTGGCTAGGAAGGCCTTGACTGGGTCTGCGGAACTTTCAACAATGCTTCAATTAAAAGTCTGACCAGTTAGAGAGGTTGAGCACCGTACCTGAACACTTTACACAGGGGTCTAAAATTACTTAAATTCTGTTTCTTGCTTCCAGTGTTTTTTTGAACTATTTTACCCTTGAAGTAGATGGGCTGAAAAGTTAAACCGATTATCATCAAATTTCACACTGTTGTCATAATGTATCAGGTCAGCATTGGGGGGAGAAGGAATTAGCAGGCAGAGTCATTAGAGCAAAATACACTTTACACTAAATTTTTAAAGTGTATTCCAAGGTTACAAACTGATCTAAGCAGAAACAAAATGGTAAACAGAGGAGTGCCTGGGTCTTGAGGAGGCCTGCGGCACATCACTGGCTGGTCTGCAAAGACTGAACATCAGTTTTTATATGAAGATAAAAACAGAAATTTTAAAACAGATTTCTGGCATTTGGAAAAAAATTACACTAACAGCTTCCACAACAACACGCTAACAACGGCGGCTCATGCTCTATCGTGACCACTGCAGTCAGTGCTTCTGCAACGCAACGCTCGGCATCCAGGACGGCAGCGGCAGAGGTTAGCACACCCGCGCCTTCGCTCCCTTGGCAGGAGTCTGAAGTGCTCCTCGGCGCGCTCCCCACATTCACTTTCTCGCCCCAGAAGTTTTATTAAACCCCAGTTCCGTGACCTACATGTGGCCCCACGGAGTCTGAGCACCAGCTCGCAAGCTCCGGAGCAGGGAAGGCCGCTGCATCCGCAGCCTGCACAGTGCGTTCTTAGTTGAGCTGCCTCTAATTTATCAGGTTTTCCGTTCTCTCGCTCGTAAAATATCCCAAGATGGTAAGACTCGGGAATTAAAAGAACATACGAAGCTGGTTATTATTCAGGGTGTGGACTGGCTTTGGAAAGAAGACAACTACTCAAAGGCTCTCTTGGAGGAGTATGTGGGGGTAACCTGGTAAATAAGGATCTAAAGAGCCAGGAAGTTACTGTGGAAGTAACTTGGCATAAAGAACCAGGATTCCTTCACCTCCTTTAGCACGCCAGAACAGTGGAGGCCAACATGCTTGACTAGCAAGTACGTAAGGACACAGGACAATGACAAGGGTCCTAGCGACAGAAAAGCAAAGGGAGACGTGAGACCGAAGAGGAAGAGGCGATGGGTCAGTGGAGGTCAAGGCTGGCCAGGGGAGCAGGGAGTCGCAGAGCAGGCAGGGACAAGGGCAGGCGAGCAACACCTTGATTTCAGAGAGGGGTGTCCAGGGCTGGGAGAGAACCCAGCCCTGTGGTCTTAAGGCACTCAGTTGGAGGGGTTTGTTATGGCGGCCACAAGAAAGTACCGTGAGTGCTTGACTCAGTACCCCCCAAAGTAGTAAAGAGATGATGTGATCTCAGTGGCTCTCAAATTAAGATACATAAACTTTAAAAGCCTTTATTGTTTATTCTTAAAGAATAAAGGGTGAGGAAGGCACCTGGCTGCTTGTCAGTACTAACGCAACTCTGGAAAAACTTCAAAGGACAAACAGGTTTTAATCAGAAATTTTAGCACCGCAACTGAAATATTTTCCGTCTCCAAGATGCACCTGAGCAGGAAGGCACAGTCCCTGGAGCCCGACGGGGCCCCCGACCACACCTGAGGAAGCAGGTTTGCCCGCCAAAGCCCCGAGGAGGAGCTCACTTCTCCTCAGTGTAAAAACTCTGTGAACAAAAACTACTTATGTACAGGCTGCAGGAAACACCCTGAAGCAGACCCAGTGTCTGAAGCTAACCGACAAGTAACAGAGAAAAAGAAAAGCAGAAACAAGAAACTCCTGAGTCTACATTTTTATGAAATGTTCACACCCCCCCTCTGCTGCTCGGAAGGCAGTCGGCCGGGGCTGCTGGCCGCGGCCCCCCCGGGGCTGGCACCAAGGCAGGTCGGGCTGAGACCGCCTGCCGGAAGGCCCGGCTCCGGGAGCTCACGGAAGGGCATGAAGCCTTCGGTGTGAGCTCCAGTCTAGCTCTGCGCAGGCCCCTGCCTCGGGCCTCTCCGGGCAGCTCCGGCGCCATCCCGCACGCGCTGCCGGCCGCGCTCCGCAGGGGGACAGGGACCAAGGCGGCCGCGCTCCAGCCCGCCCCGCGCCGCCGCCGCCCCCAGTCCCCCGGGACGCGGCCCGCAGGAGTCACAGCCCGCCCCCCCCCCCCGCCCCGTCCCCCGCGACCCCCCTCGGCCCCACCCGCAGGTGCCAGACGCGCCCTCCGGAGGCCCACCCCTCCCCGCGGCGGCCGAGGCCCGAGGTTGGCTGGGCGGGGACCCCGCGGGCCCCCACGTCGGCTTCCCGGGGCCTGGGCCCGCCGGGACGGCCCGGGCGGCACGTGCTCGGGGTGCGGGCGCGGGGGGCGCGGGGGGCGCGGGGGGCGCGGTGCAGGGGGTGGGGCGCGAGGGGTGCGGGTGCAGGGGGTGCGGTGCGGGGGGTGGGGGCGCGGAGGGCGCAGGGGGTGGGGCGCGAGGGGTGCGGGTGCAGGGGGTGGGGCGCGGGGGGGCGCGGGGGGCGCGGGGCCGCGGGGCTCACCTGCACCCCGGTGTAGTGCTCGAAGAAGAAGAGCACGACGCTCTGGTAGACGCAGTAGAGCCGGTCGTCCACCGCCTGGTAGAGGCGCGCGGGCAGCAGCGCCGACAGCAGCCGCCAGGCGCCCCAGGCCAGCACGTAGGTGGGCGCGGAGCCCAGCAGCACGGCGGCGGGCAGCACGCAGCGCATGGCGTACAGGTGGAGCACCAGGGACAGCAGCATCTCCGCGGCCGCGGCCCGGCCCGCCGCCCCGCGCGCCCCTCCCCGCCGCCGGCCAATCGCCGCGCCCGCCCGGCCGCCGCCCGCACTCGCCCGGCCTCCGCCCCCAGCGCATGGGCCGCGCCGCCGCCGGGGGGGCGCGGGCGGGCGAGTGCGGGGCCGGCGCCCTCGCGGCCGCGGGAAGGGAAGGCCCGGGACGCCGCCGCCGCTCGGCCGCTCAGGAGCGCCGCGGCCCCATGACCCTCGCCCGTCGCCCAGCGCCGGGTCGGGGCGGGGCGCCGCGGCAACAACGCGGCCCCCGGTTGGCCGCCCGTTCCCAAGGCCCCCGCCGGCCGGGCGCCTCCGCAAGAACGCGGCTGCTGATTGGCCGGGCCCGGCGGGCGGTTGGGGCGCAAAGGCCGCCGGGAAACGCGCATGCTCCGGAGCGGCCGGCGGCGGAGGGGGCGCGGCCTCGGGGGCGCGGGCCGGGGGGCGGCGCCCGCGCGCTGCCTCCCGCCCTGTGGGGCCCCAGGGGCGCCCGCGGGCCCCGACGTCGCCTTCCCGGGGCTGCGTGGGGGCCGCGGGCGCGCGCGGACGGGCCCGGGGCGGGGACCCCCGGGAGCCGGCCGGGCCCCCCCCCCCCGGGTCGGTCGCGGCGCGGAGCCGCTCGCGCCGGGGGAGGCCGCGGGGCCTGCGGGGCCCACCCCGGGCGGCCCGCGCGCCGCTCCGTCCTCACGGCGGCGGCCGCGCCTTGGGGACAGGCCGGGCCCGAGACGCCGCCTCGGCTGGCGCGGGCGCCGGGGGAGGGGGAGCGCCCCGAGGCCTCCCGGCGGGACGCGTGGACACCGGCCCCGAGGGCGGGTCCCCCGCGCTGTCCGGGGAGCCCGGCCGGCCCCGCTGCGGCCCAGCGCGCGCCGGAGGAGAAGGCGCTCCCCAGGGCCGCGGGGGGCCCGGGCGCCGCCCCTTGCAGGACGCCCCACGGACACCCCGCGCGGCCTGGGGTGCGGGGGGCGCGGACAGAGCCGGAGCCCGAGGGACCGGCCTCCAAGCTTTCAAATTTTGACAGGCCCCGAGGAGCTCGCGGGTCCCTGCTTCCCCCTCCGGTCAGCGCCTCGGTTGTTTTTACCAAATTTGCTTCGTTGCAAAAGAAGCAGCTAAGGAGCCGCGCGTGACGTTTTAAAGCGCTCGCGGGAACCTTAGAAGCGGGGCCGGGGCTGGGATTGTGCTGGGGACTAACTTACTGACTCGAATACCGCAGGGAGCCTCTCTTCTTGAACCAAAGAGTTTTATCTCAACGGAATGTGACTTTTATGTAAAACACCATCAGGGTTCTAAGAATGAGAGCTTCTGTGGGATGGAGCTGTTGGAGCTGCGGGCACTGGACACTCATCAGTGCGGGCCGGACACTGGACACTCTCATCAGTGGGCCGCCCAGTCGGACGCGTGAGGATAAACAGAAGCTGCTCTTGGAAATGTATTTTCTTTTTTTTTTTTTTTTTTTTTAAATTATTAATGGTGCTCTATAACTTTATTTATTTATTTATTTGTTTGTTTTGTTTATACAAGCACTGGGTACAGTCAGAAGCATGGGAGGGTGAGAGAATTCACCAGAGCCAGAACGGGGAGCAGAGCAGGCAGAAGGACCGAAGTACACTGCTGAGGGGAGCAGCGGGCGGCAGGAGAGGTCTGCGCGCCATGTGGGACCCTCCTCTGGTGGCCAGGGAGCAGCCGGGGATCGAACTGGTGCTGCAGAGGCTGCGGGCAGCTTCGCAACCCAGCGCTCAACCGCTGCGCCACAGGGGAGGCCCGGAAATGTATTTTCTTAAAGGCGCCTTAATGAAAAGAAGCCGGTTATCCTTTGGTGTCCTCAAGGTTCTCTCCTCCCTCCCTGTGCAGGGCAGGGGCTTTGAGTGACCCAGTGGGCAGGGGGTGGTCCTCGCCGCACATCAGTGTTGGGCGCTGCGGCTTCTGGAAGTTGCCTTCCGTACCCCCATGAGCGCAGAGCCTTCTCGGGGCACCCAGGCCCAAAGTGAAGACGGCTGGTGGAGGACGGGGGTGCGCTGGGGAGGGCCGTGAAGCAGATGAGGGCCAGGCCTTGGGAGGCTGGAAGGACTTACGAAGGCCCCTAAAGGAGGGAGTGACAAGGGAGGACAGGCGCCAGGAGGGTTGGAACCTGCCCAAGACAGGGGTGCAGCTTCTCCCCCAGAGCTCCAGAAGGAACACAGCCCCGGGAGGCCCCGCCTTTCCTCCAGAGGCCATTGTGGCCTCCAGAACTGTCGGATGACAGGTCTCTGCCACTGGGGCTGCAGCTGCAGGGCTGCAGGACAGCACTTCCTAGCGCAGAACAGGGCGCCTTCGGGGGGCACAGCAAAGGGCCCTGAAGAACACGGACTGTGTTTTGTGCTTTATGGCAGTGACACTTAAATTCCAAGGAAACAGTGAAATTAGTCAAATTATTTAGTACAATTCTATACGTATTTCAGAACAATCTTATAAACATGAGTTACACCAAAATAGAGGTCAGATGGGGTTTAAATATAGAAAATAGTAATTAAAAAACCTAAAACTAAACACGCCCAAAAAACCCCATGAGGTTCTAGTTTCACAATGTTCAGGTGGAGTTTTTCTTGGGGTGATACTAAGACAAATGATGAGAAGTGACGGACTCCCGGGGCAGGGGGTGCCCCTGAGGTGCCCACGGAGCAGTCGGGGGCAGATGTGCTTGTATCTGTACCACAAACCGGACTCCCCCCACCCCAGGGCTGTGAGACCTTGGGGTGCCCTAGCAGCCTTGCAGCCATTGACCGCCCTGTGGGGTCAGGACAGGGCGCCTGTGCAGCCCAGAACGCCTCTGCGCCCAGTGGGCAGGCCCTGAGCAAGAATACCTTCCATTCAGGACGCTCGGGGACTGCTCGGTGTGCCGCCAAGGACTCTGCCTCAGCTCGGCTGTTCCCATTCATGTTGTCTTTGTAAAATTAAAACAAGAAGCCATTCTTGTGCTGACAGACCTGGACAATGCGCTCTTGAGTGCTGAGGGAAATGTGCAAGTCTCCCTCCCTGCTGCCCTAAATCCCTGTCTCCCCTGGAGGTGGCAGTTGTAATAAATAAATGACCTTCCTGCACCTCCATCCGCGCGTGTCCCTTGCCCTGCTCACCCTGATCGCCAAGATCGTCACACTCCCCCCCCCCAACAGCTCATGTGCGGGTGGGGGGGGGGGGCTGGCCCATCCGCCCACCCGGGAGGGCCAAGTTTCAGGGAGGCAGCAGCATGGTGGGGTAGGACAGACTGGAACCCTACAGTTCCCCGCGACCTTTTAAGGTGGTCCAAGGTCATAAATATTTTCATAGTGACACCACCCATTCTGTGCTTTCTGGGCTGTGTTGAGCTGATGGCGCAGACACGATGGTGGGCAGGCCTGATGGCCCCTCTACCTGAGGCCCCGGGAGCGTGTGTGGGGTCAGTGGCGACCACCGGCGGGACGTGGCCTGCAGGCTGCTCGGCAGAAACGCAGGAGGAGGGACAGCGAGCCGTGAGCGATAAACTTGTCTTCATGGCTTCAGGGCCTTTCTGCTTTTCATATAGGTTTAGATTTTTTTCTCCCCTGAATCACCTTGCTCAGACGGCACACCTCAGACAGCACAGTCTGAGGACGAGTCGATGCCTTCTGTTCCCCACTTCTGAGCAATGCGCTATGGAGGCGCAGAGGCTGGCGCCCACGGTTAAAGTCTCTCTGGCCCCTTGGGTGCCACGGGAGGTGGAGGTTGGTTTACTTGCAGGCAGCAGTGCCCCGTGGCTGCCTCCCAGGGCCGTGTTCTGGCTCCAGCCCTGCAGACTGTGAACAGGTAAGGCTGTGCACGGGAGGGGCTCCAGCCCACTCACAGTATCTTTTTATTTGGTACCATTTTTTGAATTAAAAAAAAACTACAAAATTTGCAAGCTCCAACTTCCTCTCAAATCCCCAAAGTGGCTGTTTGGCCTGCGTGTAATGTGTACCAGATACACCTTCACACACGGGGTCTGCAGAAACCACCTGTTTAACTTAAGAATTCCCTGGAGGCAGAAAGGCCTTTTACGGGGCTGGGCCCAGGGTGCTGGGCAGGGGTGTGAAGCAACTGGCTGCTGAGGAACAGCCCTCCTCTGGACACCTTCGGGCTGACAGCTGAACTGAGGACGTCTTTAAAATGTCTTCAGAGGCCTCCCTGGTGGCGCAGGGGTTAAAGACAGCGCTGTCAAGCTATTGCCAGTCACTGCAGCACGAGTTTGATTCCCTAGGCCGGCCAGGGAGCTACCCACAGGGCGCAGCAGACCTCTCCTGTCTGACCTGCTGTTCTCAGCAGTGTCTTTCAATGGATCCGCCTGTTCTGCTCCCCACTCTGTCTGTGGTGACTCCTCTCATCCCCCACCCCCGCCATCTCTGGTCTACACCCCAGCTCTTGTATGCATAGATAAGTAAATCTTTAAAAAAAAAGTCTTTAACATGCCTTTTTGTTTTACTCAGTAGAGTAACAGGTAAGTGCTGGGCAACGCGGCAGACACTTCTCAGAGATGACCGGATGGAGCGCGCCTCTCGGGAGGAGGCAGCTGGTAGTGTCGTCAATGATAAAGTGGGGTTTGCCAGTGAACATTAGCGTTCTGGAAAACTTCCATTTTCTCCCATGACCTCGCACGTTCCCAGCACATGAACACGTGTTTGAATTCTGCGGTGATGTCAGCTGTCATGATGACGTCAAAATCTGGAAGCTCTGCGCGCCGGGCAAGCCGGTCTTTGCAAGTCGGGCGTGTGGTGTCCAGAAGTCGCGGGGGAAATTGTCCTTCCCGGTGCAAGGTTAGGCCGATGGATTTTAACAGAACAGGCTCCAAAAATCATTGCGTTTTGAACCCCACTTTGCTAATGTCCTTGAGTAATGACCAGCCCCCGAACTCTAGTAAATCTGAGGAGAGCGTTCCCAGCGCCGCCCCCCGCTGCCCGTGGGAAGTGCGCGTCCTCCACCTGGGCCGTGCGCCCGAGACGGAACAGAGGCCCGGG